AAGAAACAACTCTCACCCTTTTCTGTAAACGTAAAATAACATTTTATTCTGCAGTTTCCTTCCGTAGTTCTCCACTTGCTTCAAAGACTTCTCTGCAGTAGAATTTTCGTAGCTCCTTTGTCTGATTTTGCCATCCTTTACAGATTCTGGGACCAAACTCAAGCGCGCCTTGATGGTAAGAGCAGACGTGACAAAGCCCCCCTCCCCCCTCCACAGTCACTGTCATTTGTCTTCGTTCGAGGCTACAGCTTTTCTCATTCGCCTGATCCCCTGTGTATATTCCTTGTAGTCTCAAGTAATGATTTCTAAACACTGTCTCCTGTGTCAAATACGGGTGATACCAGCCAAAATAAAAGCATCAGATATTCTTAAAGTGTAATTTCATAGCTCATAGTCACAGAATGTTGAGTTTTATTGTTAGCAATAATTCAAAATTTTAAAAAAAAATACACCAAAAATTTGTTAAGAAAGCTCAGACTGTTGGCGTACACACACAAACGGAATATCAATGGTTAGAATTCCACCTCCTCCTTCACAGGACGAGTCTCGTCGTGATTTTAAATAAACCGCGACATTACTTATGTTTTCTGCTTCAGATAACAGACAGCTTTAGTCGATAACTTGAATATGTTCACATTCTGGGGGCGATGTCAAGGGGGCTTGGAAACACATCTCAGATTAAAGAGAAATATATCCAGACCGTTTTACGTCTAGGAATGTTTACATCACGGAAAGTTGTGCGTCGTTCAAGAGCCCGCCACTGGTCCCTGTCCTGAGACAGGAGAATCTACTAGTAGTCTATATAACAAACAGGAAATCTGAGAGAGTGAACCAGTGTAAATTTCGCTGTCATATTTCTTTTATAAACGGGCTGAGGTAAGAAACGTGGCTCAGGTTCTGCAGAATTTATGTTGCAGCGAGCAAAATGCCACCTAGCAGAGACAAGAGACAGGCTGACTGCGTAACTTATGAGCTCTTGGAGTGATAAATATTCCTCTTACATAAGACCGCTGCCGTCTTAGGAGGTGAAAGGCGAAGAGAGGCTTCCAACATGGGCTGCGAAATGCCTGATTAATATCGTGTGCGCCTTTAATACGAACCCTCTGAAGCCCGAAGGTTGTCTAAATAACATTTAAGAATTCAGTCCGTACCGCGAAGAAAACACTACGCTTCACCATTACAAAGATCAACTGGTTAACGCTGTTTAAGGAAATAATCGCTGTTTACACTGAGAATCATACGAAACACTAATATGAAATGAGAAGATATCGATTGTTCAAGCAGCTGGTATATATGGTTACCACTAAGATTAAAATGGTTAATTTAACGTTATTGAAAATTCCATTTACAGCCGCTCCGTTCGATTTCATTTGGATGTTCTGAAAGGATGAGACAGCAGAGATTAGTGATGGAATCCCAACAACGAGAGTTTCTGAACATTTTGTTGTACCGCCTGCAGAACACTGTTTAGTCCTCACGCTCAACACCAGAGTCGGAGAAGTTGCCGCGCTACTCAGGCGATCCGTTGTCTACATTCCACGCACGCATGCAAGCGTTATTCAACACTTTCACATTAGCAAACGTTCTTAAATAATAACAATTATTATTAAAATATATTATGAAGACGCAACTGTGAAGTTCCTTCACAACCCAGAAGATCAGGATTTATATCTTTATCGCCAATATAATTAAATAAAGACGAAGATAGATAAAACTACACAAAGAGAATCTTAACAATTTGTACTTTTAATCAGATAATGTGATTACCAAATCAATGAAGATATGATTGGTGGGATATGTAGCACGCATGGGTTGTGTGATCTGAGTACTGTGGTTAGTTGGAACGTGAAAGACCTAGGTGTGAAAGGAGGATAATATTAAAACGTAGAATGAAGTGGATTCATCTGGCTCAAACAGGGTCCGGCGGGAGGCTGTTGAGAACACGGTTCCATTAAAACCAGGGAACTGACTAGCATATGTAGGATGGGCGGACGGACTGAAAGGGAGATAGAATTATCGTGTTATAAACCACTGTATAAGAAAAGTTATGGCATTCTAAACAGAAAAATATTTTATTTCAATGTGGACTGATCTAAATTTACATTTCGGAAAAAAAATTAATAATATAGGAAAACGCTTGCATTGACAGAAGTTTTCAATTAAGCAAAGAAAGTCTACGTAAATCGTATTTAACGTCTGAAAATACAGTTCAAAAGCATAGGGATTTTAGAAACTTATGCAATGCATCTTAGGCATTCCTTCAAATACCTGACGGCCATATAATTCATAATCATTTTGTCGTTCTAACACCAGTACTTGTTCAAGTTTCCCAGAATTCCGTCAAACACTGACGCAATACACTGAAACCACCTCCAGATGCCTCCCGAGTCATTATTCGTACCTCAGCCCACAAGCTACAAACCCTCAGCAGTTAACAGAATAAGCAAACAACCTAATAATCAATAAATTCTTCTCACCGGGGTCGCTCGTTAACGAGACGAGTACGTAATCCCTCAAATATTCGGACACACACAGTTCACAGCAAGCCTCTCTGAACAGTTCATTGTCCAGGGTCATTAATATTTAGTAGCAGTGTATGGTCGTTAGGATCGCTGACGGCAGTCCAGAAAAATCAGATCACTTTGAAACGGCCTGCTGTTAAAACGGCGATGCTAAAGAACAGCTCTTGGACGGTGATACGTTTTATATTTACTAGACGACGGATAATATCCAAGAAAATTTTTATTCAATTGACGATAAAACATATTGTGACACTTTCCTTGTTATAAATATCAAATGAGACCAGAGTCACATCGCTAAAACATTTTAATTCAGTGACGTAATCAAATACTCTAATTACTTACATTCATTTCTGCACAAACTTTTAGAGATGACGATGTTGGGCTATAAAGCCAAAGGTATATACTAACATTTCGGAGGAACATACCGTCTCCATATTCAGGACTGAAGATGACGTCTATCTACGAGTTCACGCAAAATCGCAACCCAGAAGAACAACAACACTGCCATCTTTACCGCCAAGAGAAAACTACATTTTACGTGTAACGTGGTGTTTTCTTCTGAATGGTGAAGTTTTTAGTGACTTAATTATGTTTTCAGTAACAATATAAAATTATCCTGGAATGTTATACACAAACTGGAACTTTTACGGTGACTAAATACAATGAAACCTTATTGGGCGCTCAGGAATTTGAGAATGGATTAAAATACATCGCTTTCAATTTACGTCCACAAACTATTGCTACAGGTCCTCAAGCGAAGAGAAATTAGCTTTATCACAGCAAATAAGCTGTGGAATCACCCAACAAATAATAGAGCAGACCTCTATAAATGTATATGTGGATGATAACTAACCATTAAGAAGACAAGTGAGTATACTTTATAATTAATGGTATTTTCGCCATTATTATTATAATATGGAAACCAAATTTTGGTTGCGAAAATTCAAGAGGCTTACGTGAAATTTACAAAAATGTATCAAGGGAAGTGTTAAATTACGTAAAACGAAAAATTAATATATAAGGAAAATGCTAATTATTTGCTCAGAAGAACGAAGAAATAATGGATGAGCGGAGAAAAGATGTACTTCAAGAGAATGAGCTACAACAGACTCTGAAACCTTCATTTCGTTAACAAACCAAAAGGAGAGACAAAGATGACGATCCAAGAGATGAGAGACGTAACAGATGCAAAGTTAATTTGTGGATGGATGAACGAGAAGCAAATAAGGGAAATCTGTTCA